GGCCGCGAAGACTAGAATAAGGGACGCGGGGTGCCAGGCCCGGTTTCTGACCGCTGCCAGGGCAGGGCGATCCGGGGCGCATGACGTTGTCCCGGAGAAGGGCTGCCGTCCAGGGGAGGCAACTTGTGCTCCCTGTGCCCGCCCCTGGCCCAAGCTCCCCGCGTGCGTGGGGCATCCCGATTGGCAGCCCTGGCTCTTGGACCAATTTGGGGAGCAATTCGGGGAATGGGAAAGGCCTTGACTTCCCGGAGACTTCAATAGACCTTAAATTTTACCAGTGCATGCTGCCCCTCCCTTTCTCCCACCCAACTCTCCCTTCCATCCAGTACTGTACAGGCCCTGGGTGCCAGCGACGCAGGGAGCCACCCTGGGCCTGTGTCCCCTGGCCGGTCACTTGCGGAGTGTTGCAGTGTGGTGGTCAAGGCTGTGGACCCTGGAGTTACACAGCCTGGGTTCCTTGCCGGCCTCCATCACTACTTACCGTTTTTGTGCCTTAGTTTCCCCATTAGATAATCAAAGCTGGTGTCATATGTTATATTATTAAGTGCTCCCTGCTCTATGTTAGTATAAAGAGGTTTGCTGAACAGGTAATGAGGTCGCATCTCAGAGGACTTTTCTGAGCCCCCTACCATAAGGAGTAGGGTTAGGGTGAGGGTTAGGGCCAAGCCTAGGATCTTGTGCCAGCCTCAGAGAGAGAGAGATCTCTGCCCCCTGCCTCGTATTGTTGGGCACCCACCCTAACTTTCGTTTTGTTTGGGTTTTCAGATCTTTGAGACAGGGTCTCGCTATGTGGCCCAGACTGGCCTCAAACTCTAGATGATTCTCCTGCCTCAGCCTCCTGAGTGCTGGGACTACAGGAGTGCACCACCACGCCTGACTTATGCACCCAGACTTCTTCCTTCAGACTGTGAGCACCCCAGGAACAGCGTGAAGTCCTGGGGGCTGTAGTGGCACAGAGAAGCCCCTGCCACAGCTTTCAGGGGGTGGGGGGTGTACCACGAAGAGGCAGGCATGACGAAGAGGTCACCCGGCATTGTCCCAGCTGGGGAGGAGGGGCCTGGGGACACACAGGTAGGAAAATGAGGTTTTTACAGTAAAGAGGAGACTGCCTCTCCTCCACCGCTCTCTCAGTCTTGCTGGCCACCAAGGGAGGCTTATTTCCCCCGCTGGACATATGAGGAAACTGAGGCACAGAGCAACCTACCATTTGCTCCTGTGGCACAGCACTAGAACTGTGACCCAGTCGGTAGGTCAGGGATCTTTCCCTGGGGTAAGGCCCAGAAGTGTTTTGTCCCCTGGAGAACGGCAGCAGTGTCACCATGTTTCAAAGGCAGTGAAAACCACGACTGAGGAGGAGAGAAGTCTCTCTTACAAGGAGGGACCAGGAGGGAGCTGGGCACTGTCAAGAGAGGACGGACAGATCTTGGTATATTTCTTTTCTTGTACCGGGGACTGAACTCTGGTCCTTGCGCTTGCAAGGTAGGCACCGGAACCACTGAGCTAAATCCCCAG